CAGGTAGGGAGCCTGCCTTAGCCCCGCTGCGCCGCAAGACTTTTAGCACCTAAAATCTCCCAGATTGGCTTCAGTAGCCTCTGGCAGATCGAACCCAATTCCAGGAGATTCCTGGCCAAATCGGGAGGGTTGGCAACCCTAGCAAAGAAGACTACATTAAACTTGAATTAGATACTTTTTGTTCACACTACCAGTGTCCACACAGCGCAGTTAGATTGCCACGGCCCTGTAGCACTGGGTGGATAAACCCTTATTTTAACTGCATTAATCCCTTGTGTGAACACTCTCATTCAGAATAAAAGTGGCCTTAACTAGATTTAGCTTAATTCAAGGCCACTTTAATTCTGAACGAGAGCGTCCACTCTGAAACCAGTGTCCACACAGTAGTTTAATGCAGTTAAACTAATCCACTTTTAATCTACGCCTTTAGTTAATTTGGATTAACTTTCCTGAGTGCCCCTGTGTAGACAAACTCTGTGTTAGGAGTGCAGGGATGAGTGACAGCAGCAGCTACGTCACAAAAGTTGATAGCTTAACCATGTTCTGTGCAAATCAGTCTGGTCTTGTTTATTTTTATTACCTTTCAATTAAATAGCTGTTTCTGACACTCCTGTGCAGCTCAAGTACAAAAACAGGTGTGTCTTCTTTAAAAATACTGAGTTTTATCAGCCTGTGACCAAGTACACAGGCCTCTCTGGCACCAACGGGGAACCATACTAGACTGAAATCACTCTGCCTTGCTTTCTGCACCAGCGCAAGCCACCCCAGGGTCTGTTTATGGCATTTCTTCCTGTTTTAGAGAGCACAGTGGCAGTTTCCCACCTAGTGAGTGTTCCCGTGGGATGCAGAAGGATTTGTTTTCAAACTTTATTCTGATCTCCAACAAAAGGCCAATTCTCATGCAGTTTTTTAGGGTTGCCAACATTGTATTTCAATAATAAAGGACTGTTTTCTTTGCACCCCACCCCACCTCTCCTCCCGACATTATCATTAATAAACAGTATTCACCTACATTCGCCAGGGGTATTTTTTGCTGCTTTTTGCAGCACTAAGCAATTCCCAATCTTGATGTACAGAGATGAAAAATAAGGGACTGTTGGCAACCCTGTGTGGCACCCTCACCTGCCACTGAAGTCAGCAATTATCCAGGGCACTCAGTACCTCCCTCAATCAGGGCCCAGCTCTGTAGGCCTTTGGGAGGCCAGCTTCTCCCTCACCAGCTAGTCTGGGCTGAGAGGAAGTATTTATGCCTTGGGCCTGATCCAGTCATCAGAATAAAGGATCATGTTAACCTCCATGAGACACCGGCTCTGTCTTGAAAAGTGCTTCCAATCTAAAAGCCAGAGGAGTGAGATTTAGGAGAAAATAATTTGACCTGTTTATATTGCTTGATTTAGACCATGGATATTTTTAAGACATGAGAGAAAATATAAACAGAGATTCTGAACTGTGCTACGTTTTGTCAATCGTCAGAATTTATGAATTAAGTCTGAAACCCTGGGTATTCTCGCTTCAACTTTATACACCTGGAGAGTGTGCATAGCCTCTTCAATGACCTCCAGGCATGCCTTTTAGCCTAGTGCTGCCCAAACTTTTCAGTCGTGCCCCCCCTTGCCCCTGTCTGTGCCCCCCACTCCACCCGCAGCAGGGGCTGGGAGCGGGGTCACAGCTCCGGGGGTCGGAGGGGGGAAGGGAGGGCGGATGGGGTTAAGGAGGCTGAGGCTGGGGCCGGAGCCGCAGCTGGGGGCGGGTCTGGGGCCATGTACGGAACCATGGCCAGGGCTGAGGCTGAGGCTGGGGCCAGGACCAGGGCGGCTGGGGCCGGGAGCAGAGCCGTAGCTGGGGTAGGACTGGGACCAGGCGTGGAGCTGCAGCCAGAGGCCAAGTCGGGAGCAGAAGCTACGGCCAGCCCATGGTCAGGGGCCAAAACTAGGGGCCAGGTTGGGGCTGAAGTTGGGAGCTGAGCTGCAGCTGGGAGCCGGGGCTCTGGCCGTGGCAGAGCTGGTGGCAGAGTGGGGCTGGGTGGTGCTCCTGCCCTGCCCCCGTGGGGGCTGGCCCGTGCTCCGCCACACTCCCCCGAATGTTCCACTGTGCCCCCCGGGGCATGCCCTACAGTTTGGGGACATCTGTTTTAGCCCTTTAAAGAGAGATTAATCATTTCTGATACCAAGCACATTTCAGTATTGAAAGTTTCAATAGTAGCCACAACACCTGGGCAATAACCACTCGTACACATCCCCCGCTAAGCACCACGAGCAATCTGCAGATTGTACAGGTACAAGGCAGATGAAGACAGGCACAATGGGGCCTGGACCGTAAGCAGAGTCCCAGCTTCTGGAGTTGTGCAAACGTATTAGAATCCAAGTTTACATTTTAACAAGGAAAATGCTTGAACAAATGAAGCAAAACAGAGGCACCCCAGCTTCTGCGGTCAGCATGGGGGGCCACCTAAAGCCAGAGGGAAGAAGGGTCTCTGCTGCCCCTTGCTGCTGCTCTTTAGGTAGAAATAGTATGAGTCTATGCACCAGGTCCTGGGAGAGTCTGTGTACCCAATAATTAAGGCTCTGTGTCTGTCACGGAGGTCACGGAAGTCACAGATTGTGAGACTTTCCATGACCTCCATGACTTCTGCAGCACCAGTCTGGCTGACCCCAGGACCACGCAAGCATAGAGTTGCCAGGTGTCAGTTTTTCGACCAGAACACCCGGTCAAAAAGGGGCCATGGTGGCTCCGGTCAGCACAGCTGACTGGGCCATCAAAAGGCCGGTCAGTGGCACAGCAGGGCTAAGGGAGGTTCCCTAGCTGCCCTGGCTCCACGCAGCCCCCAGAAGCGGCCGGCATGCCACCCCAAGCACCAGCTCCGCAGCTCTGATTGGCCGAGAACCACGGTCAGTGGCAGCTGCGGGGGTGGTGCCTGCAGCTGGGGGCAGTGCGCAGAACCACCTGGCCGGGCTTCCACCTAGGGGCCATAAGCACATGCCGGCCACTTCCTGGACGCCTGAGGTAAACACCACCCGTACTTCCCCTGCCCCGCAGCCCCCTCCCCCAACCCTGAGTACCCCCTCCCGCACCTAAACTCCCTTCTGGAGCCCACAACCCCTCTTGCACCTCAACCTCCTGCCTCAGTCCTGAGCCCCATCCCACATTCCAAACCCCTCGACCCCAGCCCAGAGCTCCAGCCACGGCTCACGCCCAGCCCCATTTCGCAACCCAGCCCAACCGACCCAGCCCTTAGAGCCAATCCTTATCCCAAAGTTACGGATCTGGCTTACCAACTTCCCTTACCTACATTGTTCTAACATGCCAGAGGCTGTTCACCTTGGAGACCTGCTGCGGATATGGGTACGGCCCAATGCAAGATTTACACCATCTCCCCCGGATTTTCAGGGGCCAGCGAGAGCTCACCGGATGCCACCGGAACTGCGACACTTTCCCCCAGGCCCCTCAGCCCCACCCCCAGCCCTGAGCCCCCTCCCACACCCCAAACACCTCATCTCTGGCCCCACACCAGAGCCCACATGCCCAGCCGGAGCCCTCCCCGCTCCGCCCCCCAACCCTCTGCCCCAGCCCAGTAAAAATGAGCGAGGGTGGGGGGAAAGCAAATGACGGAGACGGTATGGAACGGAGTGAGTGGGGGATGGGGCCTCAGGGAAAGGGGTTTGGTTTTCTGCAATCAGAAAGTTGGCAACCCTACCAAAGCGGCTGACCCTGGGCCAGCCGCACTGGCCACTCCTGGAGTGGCCCTCGGGCCAGCCGCATCAGCCCCTACTTAGGTGCCCCCTGGCAGCTGGCCCTGGGGACGGCCCGAGGACTTGTCCCAGAGGCGGCTGGAGCAGTGGCCAGTGGCCAGCCCTGGGCCCCATCACCAGAGCAGCAGCATCCTGGGGTGCTCCTATTGTTGCCAACTTTCTAATTGCACAAAACCGAACACCCTTGCCCCCCCCCCGCTCCATTCCTGAGGCCCCTGCCTCTTCTCCAAATCCCCACCCCCCTTTCCTCTATCGCTCGCAACCAGAGCCCCTGAATCAACAGCACTGGACGGGGAGCATTCATTGCGACCTTCAGCCGAGGGAGGAGGCGACCAAGGCGGGGCATTAGGTGGGTACAGTGGAATTCAGGCAGGCCTCCAAGAGAGTTCCGTCTGGGAGAGGTGTCAAGTGAGTGCATCTCCCATTAGCCTGGCCCTGCCTCTGCCCACGTGCAGGCCAGCCCCGACCTCCCTATCAGAGTGGGGGGTATAGGTGCTTTACCCCATTGAGCCCCTGACCCAGGTTCATCTAATGCCTCTAGGAATGTTGGCTTTTGCTGGAAGTACTCGCCAGTAAATCAAGCCTTAACCTTGTAACACTAGGCAGGCTCTGCTGTAGTTATAACTAACTAATGCACGGAAGACTGGCCAAAGTCCACAGGCCTTAAACGACAACCACACAAACAATTTTGTTTTCTTTTTTTAAAACTATCCCTTGTTAACCCCATGCTTGTAATGGGGAGAAATTTACAACCCCTTGTGGTATTAAAGCTCTCACAGAATCTCCCCCTACGCTGGTCCTTTGTTGCCAGCATTGCCATGGAGTTCTTGCTGCTCTGTTCCATGTTGCCTCAGATTTAATTTTTCAGCTCCGCACACTCTAAAGTTGGCTCATTGGTCTGCGATCAGGTCCACCCACACACATGCAGAAATGTCAGACTCAGAAGAGATTCCATTCCTCCCATGACAGCCCTGAGAGGAAACAAAGCCTTCATGTACGTTCCTATCAGAGGAGAGGACACAGTGGAAATATTAGCTCAGGTTAATTTCTCAGGTTTCCTCAGTTTTAGACAAATCTTTTTCACATGTGTTTCCGTCTGCATTTCATCTTCAGTGAGTAAATTCATCACCACAACAGCCTGATAGCTACCCACAAAGCACTGAGTCTACCCACGTGTTATGGGACAAAGCTATCCTGGGTTTAACACAACTGACTTCAGGAGAGTTACATGATGGGGGAATTTGGCCCTACCTGTAGGGCCTGGGGAGGGCTGCTCCTTTGTTCACGGGTCTCCTCTTTTAGCACTTAGTCACTGTTGCTTTCCTGGAACACAAACGAAAATGCTTTGAACAACAAGTACATGAGTGTTCAGCAAAAAACAAGTTTCAGAGTGGTAGCCCTGTTAGTCTGTATCCGCAAAAACAACAAGTCCTTGTGGCACCTTAGAGACTAACAAATTTATTTGGGCATACGCTTTCGTGGGCTAAAACAAAGGATTCATCCTTCAGGCTGAAAATACTCCCAATTGCTCATACTATTGGGGAGTTGGAAACTTTGTTGCTTCTTTTAGCCAAATGTATTGCATACAGCATGGGTGCTTTGCATTCTTCCATTGCCCCTGCACAAGCGAGCCTCCCTGTGTGCTATCCTCCTATCCCCCTCTACTGCAGGGGCTCTATGTGTTCCTGATTTCCCCACCCTTCTCATGCCAGTGTCCACCATTCCCCTCTCCACCATATGCTAGCAGCTGTGTTGCCCCCCATTCACCCTTTCAACCATACCATTGTTCCCCATTCTCCCCACATACCAGGCACTCTGTGTGCCCCTATGTCCCTCTTCCCCCATGCCAGGGTCCCTTATTCTCCCCCTGGCCAGGAGTTCTGTGTGCCCGCTCATTCCACCTCTTCACCATGCCACCTCTGTGTGCCCCACATTTCTCCCTCTGCCGCATGCCAGGGGCTTAATGTGCCCCACATTTCCCCTAGGTAATGGGTATGGTGTGCCCCCAATTTCCCCTTCCCCCACACTTTCCCTTCACATGCAAGAGGCTTTCTGCCCCCCTTCACTCCACCCCCCCCCCCACATTCTCATTTCTTTTGTATCTGTCTGGGAGTCCATAGGGAGGATGAGCAGAACTAAAATGGGGACTATGGTTATGCTGAAATGGATTAATGTCTGCCATCAACTGGTTCTTTGGTCTACAGTCAATCACAATTGATAACTCTGCTAACCAGATGCCAGGGGCTCTGTGTGTCCCCCATTTCCATGTTTTGATTTTTCTCATTGTCACCAAAAACCAACATGGTTCTGGTCAAGGATGCCTAGAACAGTTCCCTAAAATTTTGGAATTCATAGGATGGTGCATTCAAAGTTATCACATTACAGACAGAGAAATGCCACCGAGTTAAGTGACAAGGTGGGTGAGGGGAGGTAATATCTTTTATTGGACCAACTTCCGTTGGTGAGAAAGACAAGCTTTCAAGCCCAAGAGAGCTCTAGAGGATATTAGCTCACCCACTTCGTCTACTATCTCATTAATCTATTTAAAAGTCAAGAGCCTGAAAAACTCAAAAACCAAAAAACACTCAAGTTTCAAAACCCATTTAAGATTGCTAACTGACGATACACTTAGCTATCAAAACAAAAATACTTTAAAGGAAAGTAACACATTTTACTATCCACCTAGACATTGTTCCAGTAATTTATAAAGATGGATATAACAGCAATTTTAAATACTTGACCAAACAATTCTAATGTCATTTGATACAAAATTTCCCCATGTAACACTACCTTTTGAAAGAAAATATTTAGATACGGAAATAAGGTGGATCAAAATACTTGGAAGATCATTTATAGGGTTAGTATTGTGACAAAATATGCAATTATTACTGAGTGAAAGAAACTCAGTTTTCTTACGAACAAGTCGTAAAAAACATTTTTCCCCAGTCTGGACAAAAGTTACATAATGAAATCGATGTCAATGAAGAACAAATTGACATGCCTTCACATTCCCAATATTTTCAATGCACTTGGAAGCACAAGAAGCAAGTGATGCAGTCTGCCCTACTGCAATTTATGCACCAGACCTACTGTAATTCTGAGATGTTCAATTGTGTGAACTTTTTGATTTTATGAACTGCTCAAGCCACAGTTAGGTCACTGGGGTTGTACTGTACAATGTTGACATGTTAGTCTTATGCTCATAGAATCATAGAAGATTAGGGTTGGAAGAGACCTCGGGAGGTCATCTAGTCCAATCCCCTGCTCAAAGCAGGACCAACCCCAACTAAATCATCCCAGCCAGGGCTTTGTCAAGCTGGGCCTCAAAAACCTCTAAGGAAGGAGATTCCACCACCTCCCTAGGTAACCCATTCCAGTGCTTCATCACCCTCCTTGTGAAATAGTATTTCCTAATATCCAACCTAGACCTCCCACACTGCAAGGCTGCTATCAAATCCCCCCTCACTCTTTTCTTAATTATGTTCTTAAGACATCATATAAATGGTTAATCAATGCACATTATCATTTAGCAATTTTAAATGGCTTTTGCAAATACTCTAGGAATACAGCAAACAGTACAGTTAAGCTAAAACAGGGTGCAGTAAGCATCCTTATTTAAATGCCACTCACTGCATACAAGTATAAAATCCACTCAGCCATTTTCCCTGCTGTTTGAACAAAGCTCACAAGTGAGCAAGACAGAGCTATGTAGCTTTTTCTTCTTTATGGTAAATCTTTGGTTCCGGTTACCTTCTTTGGGCAATGAAAAAGCAGCAAGATCCACGTTCCACTAGGTTGGATACAACAGCAAGAGCCCGGCACTGGTTACTTTTGGTTTCACACCGATAAAGAACTCTGCTTCTTGTATGACTCACAGCATACCCTTCACCTTCCACCAGCTGATAAGCATAGAGGAGCACCACAGTCTCACTCCCCGTTTGTAATCACTGAAAAGCAGGCGGCAAGTGATGACTTTCCAGGCTGCTCAGTGTCTCTGTCAGCTCCTCCTTGTGGGCTAAACTATTAGCTCTGCTCTCTGCACATCCCCTCCACCAAAACTGCACTCAGTTTAGAAGCGGAGACTGATAAGAGATTACTCAACATTATTTGTTTTGGCTTAACTATATTGGTTGAGAACCAGGAGTTTATCCTGTAATAGCTACAGTTAGGGAAATAAGCTATACGGATAGAAGCCCCTTTCTAGTCCTATAACTGTGTCCACAACAGGGGCTTGTGTTGCTCTAACTGTACCTGTGTCTCAGCCAGTGTAGTTAATGCTGTACAAAAACAGTGTAAACCAGGTCGTAGACCTGTTAAGTTAAAGCAGTGCAAATCTCTATGTGGATGCTTATTGGGTCTCAGAATGGCTTATCTTGGTTTAACCCTAAACCTATTCCTAATCATTTTAAGCTAAAACAAAATAAATATCCATACTACCTTTTTTGTTGGTTTAACGGTATCTATTTAAATAAACCAATTTAATTAAACCACTGCAAATGTGTGTAGCCAAAGCCTTAAGCATTTTCAAAAAAATTACTGTACCTAATAGGCAAGGCAGTGTTGGTTCTAGGAAGACGTAGTTATTTCTGCAAGAGTTAGAAACTTAGGGTTTTGTTGTTGTACAAATGAAGTATACTCTGGAGTACAAGAAAGCAGCCTCCATAAGAAAGTACTTGCTCAAATGGCCACAAGAGATCACTATTACAGATCAGTCCTGATGGGGAGGTGGGGGGGGGGGGGAAATCAGCTCCAATAGGGACTGTCCAGTTCTCCAGTCGGAACCTCAAGAGGAGCTGTAGGTGTTTGGCACCTCCTGGGAACGGGTATTTTGTATGAAATATATAGATTTCTATTAAAGGGCAATCTGTGTTCAATGTAAGCATATGTTCTGTGGCTGACAGTTGTCAATCTCTAGGTGTTGCATAGGAGCAACTAATGTGAGTAGTAAACACTTGCCCAAAAGAAGTTTATTAATAGAATGATGTCAGCAACCCAAAAGGATCAAAGTTTAGAGATTAGGGTTTAAGAACTGGTAGGAAAATACTAATACAATGAACTAACTTACTGAGAGCAACTCACCACTCTGCTGTTCAGGCCCTGATCCCATTTAGAGACTTGTGTTTGTTAATGAAAATTTTCCTTCAAAATGAATAGAAGGTGATATAGGACAATATGCATTTTAAAATCAGTTGATTAATCTGTGGTGTCAACTTTAACGGTCTCATTCATTTTCAGATTGAATTGGGCTATGTAGCCAAAGGGTGTCATCATATTACTTTGAGAGGAGCCAGGAGACATTTTTACTGGATCTGACAGTTACCCTACTATAGACTGAGTAATTTACAAACAAAATTAGGCTCTTTGGGTAACCCTTAGCTTCTCTTTGGGACAGGGCCTGTGCCTACCTGTGTGAAGCCTATGGCACAATGTTGTAGTCTGTCATGTTAATTTAGAGTTTGAAGCAACTTCTTAGGTAAAGCCCTTGTTACTGTATGTACTATGTTTTTAAGCCAAATGTACAGCACATGCTCGTAACTGTCAAAATCCTTAAACTAAACGGCCAGAGTTTTAAAGGTATTTGGGCATGTAAAGATTGAGATTAACCCCCAAGTAGGATTTTTTAAAAGCTCCTGAGCACCTAACTTTCATTTTGGAGAGTTAGGTATCTTGGTGCTTCTGAAAAATCTTACTAGGCACCTATCTGCATCTTTTTTCATCTAAATGCCTTAAAAATCTGGCCTTTAAATCTCATTGAAAGTCAATTTAAGGTTCAAAGGTTCTAATGACACAGGCTTTCTTTGACTGCAATAGCTCTTCATTTTGAGTTTATATTTAATAATGCCTGTAATGTAGCAAGATGTACTTCTTGTCTACAAGCTCCTCTGTCTGGCAGAGCTTTGCTCTTTTTTAAAATAAATTACAATTGAAAAGATATCTGCACAGCTGCGCCCAATCAAAGCAATCCCCACTGGTATTATTTTCTGGAAATTTCCAAGCAAGTTGAGAAGATGTAAACTGACCGCTGCAATTGTATCACATAACTATAATCACTTGCTTTCAGGACACAGATTCTGATGTAACAGCAGACATTTAGACTTTGTTTATGCTACAAAAGCCTGTACCTGTAATTCAGCTATCTTCAGCACACAGCAGCTACACTGGTTTTAGTAAAAGTATTAGCGTAGCCAGCATTCAAGCATTTTTAACCACTGTACCATAAAACTGGGTTTAGTGCCAGAGTTCAAGCATTTTTACCACTGACTTCACTAGCACCTAGGGCAAGTTCAATTGCACCATTATTAGAATATAGGTCCAAGTTTTTCTTATAGAGATGCACCCAATGACAGCAGTTTTAAACTTTGCATTTACTCAACTTCTGTAATAACCCTATGCTTTGCCACCTTAATGTATCCTCCACCCTGCTCACTAGTACTTCAACATTCTGTTATCAGGTCAGTCAGGCTTAGGCCCCTGTGGCTATGAAGGAACTTAAGGTTGAAGCACATTTGTATAGTGTTATGAAGTCTGCGTTGTTGCTGCCTGGACTGCATGTTCTGTGAAAGGATTTCTGTCTCCAGGGCTGTCAATCCAGTCCTGAAGCCAACTTTTAAAAAATGTGAATCATTGCATGCAAAGACTGGATTGAGGAAAACAGATTTACAAAAGTTGCACAGGTAATGTAAGAAATACAGTGATATTGGCAGTCTTCAAAAAGCTGTTGTTCATTGCTGTTTGGTGGAACATCAAAGCTACAAGCAATTCCTTTTACTGAGCTCCAAGTCATTTCTAATTCATGAAATGAAATTGACTTTGTTTAGACTCACTTGCCAAGTCTATAAACGCCAAGTTCTGGACACTATAGGTAATTCAAGCATTAAAGTTTTTCCACTTCTCCCAGTGTTCTTAAAGAATTGCATTATTCCTTTAAAAAAAGGAAATAGAACTCCATTTTCCTGATGCTCTTACTAGGTGTTGCAGTGAAACTTTTGATACTTTAAGGCTTCTACGTTTTTCATATAAATATCCCATTTCAATGGTACATTCTTTGAGCTCCCAAAGGAGATGTTCAACCATTTCCTGGACCTTGCACATCCTACATAATCCATCTGTATGCTTATTAGAAACAAATTACTATTTAAACTGCAATGGCCAGTTAAAATTCTAGATAGAGCCACTTCACTCTCTCTCTCAGGGCCTTGGAGTATATCAGCACTTCGGACTCTGATATATTTCATGGAATCTTCCCCCCACCCCCTCGTTTCTTTTGCCCGTATTTATTCCTGCCATTCCTCTCTCACATTTAGATTTTTAAACTCCAGTTTACTTAAAGAAATTTTGAAATCAACTTGCTCATTTTTAACAGCATCTTTTGCCTGTTTGTCTGCCAACTCATTGCCCACTACCCCTACATGAGCTGGGATCCGTGCAATGAGCTTTTCAGTGGAGATCTCCCATTTAAGTATTGGCCAAGTCTCATGAAATCCAAACAGACCATGAACCAAGTTAGTCAAACGCTTTGTCTACAGAGTTAGCCTTGATTCCCCAATCCGTGTAGCTGCAACAATTAGCATGACTCCAAGTTGACAGGAGTAAGCTCAGCTAGTGTAATTTCCTATTTTCTTTGTCTACTTGTGGTACAGTATAGTCACAGTTTCGCTGGCAGCAGGCCACCAACTGCTGAAGATAAACAGGAAAAAAGGCTGAAGCTAGGTATTTCTTATCTCCTACATAATCAGAAGCACGCAGCTGTTTTTATTTTTCTTGTTCTGAACACAATATCTTTGTGAAACATCTTAAAGTGCCACAGAACCTTTGCCGTCAACAGAAAGAAAGTGACAATTGAGTCAAAATAAATCACACTTAACTTCTAGGCTTCTGCCATGGTATTCAATCATGGCATCTGTTGAAGGAACAGCATGGAGATCTGAAAAGATAAAATGGGTTGATACAGATGGTGCTTCCTCTTTCTGAAATAGACTTTCTGCCAATATTTATCTGTTGAGGCTGATCACATCCAAGTGCTGAAGCAAACCTGACAAAGGTGCTGCTCCTCCATGATTTTTGTTCGCTTAATTATAAATGTGGTCTACAACGGACAATTCTGACACTAAAAAGCAAAACGTGACATTGCTATTTAAATGTTTGAGATAGTTTCTAAAGTTTTTTCTGCTTCTTATACTTAAGAATATGGAGTGTCCAGCCTGGTCTTCCCTGTTTTCTAGAGATCCTCCTGGATGTCTCAGAGTATGCATGTCATGAGCTCTCCCTCCTCAAAGGGTCAGGAGTATTGAATCTTCAGCAAATACATTTTCTCTTTACAATGTTTTAATCACTGAAGTTAAAAGGTTAAAAACAGAAAAGTTTTAAACTCAGTCTTTCCCTCAGCTTTCGCGAGGCCAGAGTTTTCTTGTGAAGGCAAAACCTGAATTTCCAATGCAAACATTAAGCAAGAAGAGCTTTTAAAAAACTTGAGCTGTTCTTTGTTCATTATAAATCATCAAAAAATGTACATAACTAATTCCTCCACATAACATCCTTTTACAGGGGAATTCATTTGCTTAGTGCAATGTTCAAAGGGTAAGCAGATAGTGTGTCATCACAAATTGAATTACATTTGACACCAAGCCAAGCAATTGAATATTTCATGGAAGCAACCATAATCCTGAAAGGTTTCAGAGTAACAGCCGTGTTAGTCTGTATTCGCAAAAAGAAAAGGAGTACTTGTGGCTCACGAAAGCTGATGCTCAAATAAATTGGTTAGTCTCTAAGGTGCCACAAGTACTCCTTTTCTTTTTGCAATCCTGAAAGTGACTTCAATAGCAATACAGACACAGTGAAATGTCAGAGGTATTAAGCCAGTTTCCATAATGCTTTAGCTGTGGTTCTGCTCTGAGGAACTGTTTCTGGAATCGAATACTTTATTCAACAGAGTACTTTATGCAACAACATACAAAATAAAAACAAGAGAGTTGTGCAGTCAGTAAAAGTTGCCACAAGG